GGCCCAACTTTGATCTCAGATAGCGGCTAAACGGCTTGCGCTAGAAGTATCAAATTTGGAGACCTTTCCTAAAATGTCTCTGGAAAAAAGTTCATATTAGTTTTATACTAGTAAGTTGATGTTTTTTTGTGTTGCCATGGCAACGGGTTTCTAGCAGGCAGTTTTTTTTAAATAGAAGTAATTTTTGTTTTAACATAAAAATTTTCTGAGTTTTATATTAAATTACACTTCTTTTCCAAAATTAATAACATCTTACATAATTAAATATAAGTTAAATCATTTAATGTGCATATAATATGCTAATTTGATGACGTCATTGGTCAAAATCCAATATGGCGGACTATATTATTAGCTCTGACGTCATATGACGTCATAATTACACCAAAGTTATTAAAATGTAATTCTATTACCACACCATTCTCTGAAAACTTGGTAGACATTCGATGAGTGCATAAAAACATATAAAAACGGAAATAAGGTAATGTATAAGAACGCCAGTGTATCCATTATGATCGAAAGCCGGCTGGGGTCCGCGCGGACCCCAAAAGAAAATCAGATATAATTTTTTTTATAAATGGTAGAAACGGAGTTTTCTGCACTGTGTTGAGAGACAACTTTGTGGGTGACAATTACCTAGAATTTCAGAAAAAAATCTTTAGAAACAAAAAAGATATTACAGAATATATAGTGCTGGGGTCCGCGCGGACCCCAGGTGTACTGTTTAGGGTTAATGTTGAAAAAGAAGTGTAATTTAATATAAAACTCAGAAAATTTTTATGTTTAAACCAAAATTACTTCTAATTTAAAAAAAACTGCCTGGTAGAAACCCGTTGCCATGGCAACACCAAAAACATCAACTTACTAGTATTAAACTAGCCGCTATCTGAGATCAAAGTTGGGCCTCAAAAGCCCCTTCAGTCTGAAATGGGTTTAAAAATCGGGTATTTCTTCTTGTCTTCTTTTCTTCACCAAAAAATAGAAAAAGTTCAAAATGTATGATTTTTGTATTTAATGTGGACACAGAGGCTCCCACATCAGTTTGCAAAACAATTGAGCTGGTAGCATGTTGATAATTTCTAAAAATTAGCAAAAACTGTTCTGGAGTCCGCGCGGACCCCAGGTGTACAGATTAATCAGTCCGGGAAGGTGTTCTGTTGAGGGTTATACGTTTCGTCATCTTTCCACTCGACCACTCAGCGACCAAACAACGCTCAACGACTTTTCGTCAACAGATAAATACCACATTTATTACAGTGTGAGTTTGGTTGTCTTTTGAATAATTCTTTTACTTTTAAAAGCTTGCAACGTATTGAAATCACATGGGACAATTGCGCTGCGTTTTGAAACTATGGTTCACGCATGCAGATCCAACCATAGTCGCTGTTCATCAGATTCTGTATCTGTATAGCCGGTATAACCGCCTTTCGGCGTAACACACCAGCTTCGCAGGCACGCGGCGCGGCGGCAGCTGGCTATATTACACCGATCGACTTGTTACACCTAACCCTTGAACTTCAAGCTGTAGACTTTGTTTAAAGCTATCTAATGACAATGCCCCTACTGTACTCAGTGACAGTGAGTTTCACTCTGCAATAGTTCTGGGAAAGAATGAATTCTTGAACACCTCAATCCTTGGTTGATAACTCTTTTACTTGAAGGCATGGCTATTTCTTGTTCTTTTTTGGGCTGGTATTAGGTGCTTAGTAGTTGGGACATCCACCAGTTTATTAGTCATTTTGTACATCATGCATAGTCTGTACATCGATCGCAGTCTAGTGTACTGGTGGTCTCACTCTGCTGCGCACCTATCAGCTGGGTGTCTGTTGTTTTGTATACATTGTACACATGAATCCAGGAGTTTGTATATACCACACAACTCACCTAGACACCACCGAACACACACCGTTGTTCTATCAGTCTCTTCAACTGGAAACGTCCTGCGACCGTTTGGTAAGTTATGGAGTTCTATTTACATTTATATATAACGAAATATTCCATGATATTTTGAAGGAAGTCTTTTGAATCTGTCTTTAGTATGTAATAATTGAACCAAAGAAGTCACTGGAATATCAAGTACCAGAATTATCCACCAAGGATTGAAATTCAGTTTTTTCCTGGAATTATTACAGAGTGGAACTTGCTGTCACCAAGTACAGTAGGGGGCCTAGGGGCATTATCATTAGATAGCTTAAACAATGTTTAAAGTTAGATGTTCAAGGGTTCGGTGTAACACGTCGTTCGGTGTAATGTAGCCAGCTGCCGCCACGCCGCGGGCCTGCGAAGCTGGTGTGTTACACCGAAAGGCGGTTATACAGATACAGATACAGAACCCTTGGCGGCTACGGTGACCTTTAAAAATAACTCGCTCCGCCTCACTATAATGGCATGCAGACTTTCACACAAGACTTTTGAAGACAGATCCTATCCGTTTAATTATCGCTGATCATTTCCCCTGCAGGTCAAGCTATGGTAAAGTTCATAAGAACCCTGCTGGTGTTGGTGGTCGCCATGGCCGTCATGGCGGACGGAGCCAGGCGCCGCGACCGTAGCTATAAGGGCGGCGGTTTCGGCGAGCGGCCTCCCAAAGTCAAACGCGGGGTTAACGTTCGTGACCTCCGTGACAACGCAGAGCATCGAGGCAGCGGCGGAGCCAGCGAGAGACTCGGAATACGTGGTATCACTGGCAGTCCATATATTTGCACACAAATGTCTTTCTCCTTCAGTAAGATTAAACCTTCTTGCTCGCCTATCTCCCTGTTTATCTCAATCTGTCTCTATCTCGTTGTCTCTGTTCAAGTTTTATTTATAAAATCAGCCTTGCAGCCAGTTTCACAAGTCAACCAAGCTGAATCACACTGATTTTTACAATTTTATACATAGCAAATACAAATACAAACTGACATTACAATACATGTACAGACACGCTGACAAACATGTTACAAAGCCACACATGGGCACTGAAGTGAAGTCCAGAGAGTCAAACTTGAAAGTCATTACTGCAAGGACTCATTGTACAGCCTTGTGTAAGAAAGAGTTACGTTTTTCAATCTCTGTAGTTCTCTGTAGTTCTCGCTCTCTCTCTCTCTCCCTTGACATTTCAATTACGTTTCACTCAGATTCGACTAGATGGCCAGACTGCTCCCGAAATCCCAAACAAAGTTTAGCTGGTTGTCGGGGGAAGTTGTAAATGTGTGACATGGGCTTTATTTTTTTTTATCTCTGCAGAATCAGATTCTGGTTCTAATGCAAGCTAGTCACCTGAGGAGGGACAGGACACGTTTGCTGAACAGCCGACCGATACGTTTCTGCACAAGCGAGCCAGATTAGACAGGTAGATATTGCAAAATATCACCTGGCACGTTCAACTGCAATGCAATCAATTGAGGATTTTATTTCATTCATACCGGAAATTCTTGATTGTCATTGCTGGATGTTGAAGAAAGAGAAATAAACTTAACTGATGTTGAGAATTACGGAATGTAGAATTCGTCATTTGGTACAGGGGTTCCTTGAGCATATGCTCAAAGAATGACATTTGCAGCTTTGGCATACATCGCTTGAAAATGGTGTGAAACAGGTCTTTTCTGCTATTTTCAGACAAAAAAAAGTACATTTTTGGCTCCTGTGACCTTATATTACAACCAAATGACCTAAAATTTGGTATAGGAGTGCCTTTGACGTATGCCTAAAGAACTATACTCACATTTTTGGTAAACACTACTTTGAATTTATGTAAAATAAGTTTTTCTGCTCTTTCCAGACAAAATGCTTTTATGCCCTTGTATTAAAACCAAACGACCTGAAATTTGTTATAGATATGTCTTATGCAAATGCCAAATGAACTTGAGACATAGTTTGGCATACACCACAATAAAATTGTGTAAAATGGGTCTTTTTTGCTATGCCCAAAGAACAGGGCTAGCAATGCACACAGTATTAATGGGCGATCCCCGGGGTCTGGGACGCGGGTATATTCATTGTTTATTTCAGGCTCAATGGCCCATAGAACAGACGCACAACATTACAAACAAGAGTTCCACGATCTCATACCTTCGCCAAATGATGTTAACCCTTGCGGGTGACGAATTATACAATTTTAATCATTGGTTTTGTAAATAAGAGCCTCATTTGCATGGATTATATCAGTTGATCATATTCTCCATCCAATGACAGCCTTATCATAACAAAAAGGCTATTATAGCACTTCCTCATAAATTATGCAAATGATGTCATGATTTGAATAAATTATGTTTATTGATGTTCACCTTCACTTAACTTCCAAATGTGGCAAGTATGAAATTCGGGGTGCAGCAGTTACAACTATGGAATTATAAGAATTTTCCATTAATTATGCAAATTAGGTCCTCATTTACATAATCTATATCCTCAGATGCTTTTCTCGTTCTCAAGTAGATGTCACAAGTGTTTCATAGTTCTATTATCGAACCAAGCAGATTTATATAATTTCCTCATTAATTATGCAAATTAGTTCCTGATTTGCATAATTGCCATCTGATTATGTCAAGCATCACTTCAACTACCTACATACCAAAAATCACGACAATACGTCAACCGGTTCTTGAGTTATCATCCTTCAAATTTTTTTCAACAAATGCTCCTGAAGTTCTAGAACAACGCGCTAGGGGACCCAAACTCATGTCACTTCTTCCCTACCCCAAGAGCTATCTACCAACCAAAATTCGTGACCCTAGCATGTCCAGAACACGAGATATCAAAACCGGAAGTTCAGCTGCAGTACCTAGGAAAGCCGCCAGGGGGGCCAAAATCTAATCATTTCTACGTCTCATGAAGACCTACCCACCTACCAAGTTTCATTCCAATCCATCCACTGCTTCTCAAGTTATCTTGCTAAACCACAAACCCACAAACACACACACAGACAAACGCTACTAAAAACATAACCTTCTTGGCGAAGGTAAAAAACATCTAAAATAAAACATCTAGGTGGGTACAAATAGATAAAAAAGACTGTCGAGCCCTTACGATGGGCGGACCAGTCTACAGTAATGGCTCCAGAATGGGCTAGAGCAGAAGGTCTCCGAGGGGAGCAGCAGTTTGACAATTGCGTTCTCAGACGCTAACAGACGAGAAGCAAAGGAGTACAACAACTTCCGGCGCCTGGCGTCAAACGTGTCTACACGCGTCTGAACAAATAGGTCGCTGTTACTAGTACTCCTAGGCTGAGACAGTAGGATTTTAAGACCATCGTGATAAGCAACTCGTAGCCTATGAATGTTTCCTGCTCTGTAGCTGGACCAAAGCTGAGCACAATACATTGCACTGCAGTGTGCTATGAACAGAGTGCGCTTCACCGCATGAGAACAGTAACCAAATTTGCGGATAAGTGAATTAGCTTTTGTGTACATATGCCTGGTTTGTTTACGAATAGATCATAGAGTCGTCATCAGAGAGGTCAGGAGTGATTTGGAAGCCGAGGTAGGTGGCCGAAGGGACGTACGGTAAGGGTTTGCCGTACAACTTCACTACAGGTGGCACTCCGTACAGAGCAATTCGATCACATGGAAAGTACATAAAGTTTGTTTTCTTAGCACAGAAAATCATGTCACTATCGGTGCCAAAGGCCTCACAGACGTTAATCAGTTTCTGTACAGCTTTTGCTGAGGGGCAGATTAAACACGAGTCATCTGCGTAGAAGAGGTGGTTCCACAGCGACATTTCCAATAAAGCAGCCCGCATTAGCGGCGTTTAACTTAGCACTAAGGTCGGAGACATAAACATTGAACAATAAAGGGGACAAAAGGCTCCCCTGGGGGACACCGTTGCTGCAGTTGAAGTGATCAGAGACGGAGGACCCCCAGCGCACCCTAAAGGTTAACATCCCAAACCAATATACAATAATGCGTACTAAGTATACAGGCACATTTCGGTCAATTAACAACTATATTAAATGTGTAATGGTTGACCCTGTCAAACGCTTTAGAAGCGTCAAGAAAACAGACGAAGACAGGCGAACCTCGGCGTCTGAAGTAGGAAATAATATCCTTTAGGGCGAAAATGCACAAATCTGTTCCATGGTGTGTTTTAAAACCAAACTGATTTGCAGGTGTAGCCAAGTACTTCTCTAGGCGAATAAGCAGGAGGCATTCAAATAATTTATTGTCAATATTTCATCAAATGATAATTACTTTTCTCAGACAAATTTGCCACGATATAATCTAAAAACGCAACTTGAAATTGGTACAACCCTGAAACGATAAGCAGTTAACGATATGAATATTCAGGTAGCCCTCAATTAAAAGGACGCATGAAGGAGCACATTGAAAAACAATGAAACAATTTCCGTTCATATGTGTAGGCGGAATATGTTAATGATTTGTGAGGAATTCAATCATGTAACTTGAACCTCAATGTCTTGCTAAGGTCTGCGTGATCTCATCAATTGAAAGGCCTAGAATAAAGCACCTTGTATTTTGTAAGGGGTGTGTGAATTGCTTTCTTCCTAGCCCAATGACCGGCCAGAAATAAAGATAATGTTACAGATAGAAATATTTTGGCATTCTGATTAGAACAACATAAAAATTCATAAAGAATTACAAAACAGGGGAAATGACGCTCATTCCAGAAGAACTGTAGCAAATCTAATTTAAGTTTTCCTCCATGCCATGCCGTGAGCAGCACTGTGCAGCAGCGTCCTCTACTGACCGATTTCAAAAGTGCACCCTGTTCTCTGATTGGGTGACGTGATCAGCACCAAGGACGGGACCACGCTCCAGCTTTCTTGAACCTCAGACAAGACGTGACATGTGTTCTCTTGTCGATATATAAACCTTTCCAAGCGCTATCAGATGTTTGTTTAGAATCATATCTTTCCTCCACAAAACATGGTAGAAGTGACAGAGAAAGAAAATTATGAGTTTAACCGCGGGAAATTTCAAACTTGGGCCACCCTCTTCTTGACAATCTTTTTGGCGGGCTGCATGAGGAGGTCCAGGTCGGCCAGCAGGTCCTCCCGCAGCCGCCGGAACAGCGCCTCCTGGCGGAGCCAGCAGATAGTGAACATCAGCGCGAGACCAAAGATGGTCTCTCCCAGGACGGTGATGGTTGGTCCGTACTTGTTGATGACGTCGACGGTAGTTTGGCCCATTCCGACCGTGCTGATCAGCTTGCCGCGGATCCCTGGCATGTCGTCGAGCCAGAACAGGGGCCAGACCAGAATCAGAAGCGCCAGACCAACGGTGACGATGGTCATAGCTGTGCGCTGTTTCCCCTGAGGGCCTTCCTTTTTACGTCGCTCAATCCTGTAGGTAATAAGTGACTAACATCAGCCTAAAATATCAGAGCAGAGTAGGCTGGGTGCCATCCTCCGTAGTTACCGCCGGTTCCTTGTTGTGCGTACCATGACCAGTAGCCAGCGACAATCGGGAACCGGCGGTTCGTGGAATGGCACCAAGCTTCGTGGAATGGCACCAAGGCTAAGATCTGAGATACAGCGGGTTTTAGGCCCGAACATTGCCAAAACATTATTTGCATTGTGAGGCTTCACAGAGCATGATGTATATGACATATGCCACGTTAGTCTCCATCAGATTTCTTTTGCAGGCTGAACAAATCGTAGAAATCGGCCTAAAAAGGGTATTAATTGGCGAGAGAAGGTAACCGGCCATCGACGATCCAATCTGCAGGCATCTAATTTTTTTGGTGCGGGGCGAAATCGCTGAAGGGGTCGAGGTGGGGGTACCAAATCACTTGCGGGGAGGGCGAAATCGCTAGAGACTTCGACCCGAGGAGGACAAAATCGCTAAGGATTTCGCCCCAGCGGAGGGCGAAATCACTGGGGGGGCGAGATCGCTAAGACACCTAGCTACCATGGACAACGAAGGAAGACACCCAGGCCAGAGCCTAGAATTTGTTCAAAGTATGTAAACTTCAATGTACCTGTCTCGCAGCTGCTCAAGCCTCTCTGCCATGTCATGGACATAGGTTTGACGGGTCCTTTCCTCTGGTTCCGTGCCATCCGAGGAACTTGACTGAATGGGCGGAATCCTGCGGTCAATGGCAACACCATGGTCCTCTTCATACCTTCAAGTTGTTCCATAGAAAAGAATAAACAGCCATTATGAGAAGACCTTTCCTACCTCAATAGAAAAATGTAGTTTTGGATCTGTATCAGTTTACAACTAATAAGTATGGAAACAGACTGATAAATACACAGAGATTCTTTATTGACACAACAAAAAAGTACGAATTGGCAGGATTCCATGGGATTGGACGGTCAAACAGCCAACCAGATGGCAAGACTGGCAGCAGATCATCAGCGGTGAAAAAACCTTTGCCAAACATCATGCTGCCCCAACGGCTGACTAAACTATGGGAGAGAGTGAGTGAGTGAGTGAGTGAGTGAGTGAGTGAGTGAGTGAGTGAGTGAGTGAGTGAGTGACTGACTGACTGACTGACTGACTGAGTGAGTTAGTTAGTGGGTAAGAGTGCCTCAGAGTGGAGACATTTTACAGTATTTGAACATAAGGTCTTCATTCATTCATTCATTCATTCATGCATTCATTCACTCCTAAGCAAAGGAAATTGGTTTTAGTTTAAGTTTGTAACCTTTTCCAAGTCTATCCATCGTCCGGACTGTGTTGAAATAAAAACACAAATGAACATTTAGAAAAGCAAATATTGAATGTGATTGCCCTTTTGACTCACAGGTTCCCACTTCATTCCGTTCATTCTAGCGGCTTGTTCTGGAACTGCAGACGCATTTGTTGAAAAAAATTCAAAGGAGGATAACTCAAGAACCGATTGACGGATCATCATGATTTTGGTATGTGAGTAATGTTACCTTAAAGGATGCTTGACATATTAAAATGAAAGTTATGCAAGTCAGCAGGTAATTAGAATGATTAATGAGGAAATGCTATAAATCTGCTACCTTCATGATATGATTATTTAAACATGTGGCATGTGTAATTGTGAAGAAGAACATTGGCAAAGTGTTTATGCAAATGAATGCCTACTTTGCATAATTGATGCGAATCGTCAACATTCGTCAAGGCCCAGGGGTAACATCATTTGGTGAAGGTATGAGATCGTGGAACTCTAGTTCCATATGTATCACGACTCACCTACGGATTTTCTCCACCAGGTCAGGCCTCTTCACATAGTGCAGGAGAATGCCCAGGTGACTCAGGTCGTCTTCTTTTATCTTGTCGGTGTTGATCAGCCACTGCATGAAGTCACGGTTGGTTCTCATTCTCTCAGCCGTACCTGTGGCACGGAGGGAAGGCGGATACAGTTTTGATGTGTGTTTATAAACATTTAATAACATACGTTAATTTTTATCTATGTACAGTATCTATCTATCTATCAATCTCTCTACCTAATGTTATCTCTCTATCTATCTATGTATCTATGTATGCATGTATCTATGTATGTATCTATCTATGTATGTATCTATCTATATTTATCTATCTCTCTATCTATGTATCTATCTGTTTTTCTATTTATGTATGTATCTATCTATCTATTTATCTATCAATCTATATCTCTGACCTAATGTTATTTTCTCTTTTTATCTATCTTCTATCTATCTATGTATCTATCTACCTATCTATCTATCTATCTATCTATGTCTGTCTGTCTGTCTGCCTGTCTATCTATCTATCTATCTATTTATCTATCTATCCATCCATCCATTTATCCATCTATCCATCCATCTATCTGTCTATTTCAACATTTCCGACTCATCTTTGTGCACGATGCTTCGCATCGGACTACCGTAAGGCCACGGTGATTTAATTTTTATGGATGACACCCACGCGAGCATTGATTTTCGCCTAAAAACATGCCACGTCCTCCGAGGTTCTAGCCTGGGTGCCAGCCTCCGTAGTCCATGGTAGCTAGCGACAATAGGGAGCAGGCGGTAGGATGACACCCAAGGAGGATGACACCCAGGCTACCGAAGCTCCACGACTCAAGCTAGAACGTACATACAATTTACGCACAGTGCCGATTAATAATTTCCCAATAGGCCAACATGTGCCGACTTGTCGCAAATTCGCAATACCAGCTTTGTATTCCTGTGGTCCTGTGGCCGAATTTTTTTTTTTTTTATTCGCCCGCGCGCACTAGTTTGGGGGTCTTCGGCGGATGTCATCTATAAAATTAAGACAGTTTGACCCAATTGAAGTAGAAGCAATCGTCAAACCGGCTGGGACGCCGCACTGCCGTTTCAGTCGATCCACCTCATCAGGGCTGAGCCGGTCTGCCAACTTCTCCAACAGGCGTTTAAAGTGGTTAATTTCAGGCCGCTGGCTGATCTTGTAAGTAGCCCGGTTACCGCTAGGGGTCGCTTTAGGACGGGTGTCAGGGAGGAGTGTCGGCTGTTGGGCGGGGAAAGCACATTTTGGGCTGGTAGACCAAGCGGGCAGGGATGATTCCGAACTGTAGCCAGACGATCCTGTGTTAAAAAAACATTGGACACAGAATTCCGTGAAGTTGGACAAAGGTGTATCGTGCCGACAAAAAACACCTTGATACAATTTTAGGCCATGTTGATTTGATTATATGGATGACATCTGCGCGTGCATGAATTTTCGTCCATTTTCCAAAAAAAGGTTTTTAACCATACTGTAAATTGTACAAAACAGTTGCAAAATGAGGAAAAATATGCTGTAAGTTGCAAAAAAAAATATTTTAAAACGATACCAATGTCGTAGAAACGAAAAAAGCCCGAAATGTAAAGAAATGAATTTGAAGAATAGATTATTAGCCTTACCA